AGAGGGAACTCCGGGATCTTTTTGGAGGCTGGTGGGGTGGGCTGGTGGGGACCCACCAGTGGGGCTGCCTCGGTGGGGTAGCAACTGGGCTGCGAGGTGGGGGCTAAAGCCGTGGAAGGATGAAGCAGGGTTGGTCCACCCAGGGGGAGTGAGGACAGAGCGTCTGCGTGCCGCGTTTGCTTAAGATGGAGCTGGGGTGTTAAATTCTGTCCCCTTCCCACCTCACGTTCCACAGCCGGAGGGTAGCGGTGGGTTAATCAGCCTTCTTTTTGTTCCCTTGTTTTCCTGCCCGTGTGGGAACACGTATACCGGGCTCATGAAAAATAACCTATTATAAACAATATGTGGTATGGCTGCAGCCCTGCAGGTCCGCAGGGGGCCCAGGGCAGCCCGTTATTTCGGTGGGATGGAGCAACCACCAGCAGCCCCCAATGCACTTGGAATTTCCTCTGGGCAAGGCAGCAAACCCGTCCGTGGTGGGCAGGGAAGGGGCTGTGCCTCTCAGGACGGCTTTTTATAGGATGCTGCCTGAAATGCCAAGTGCACTTGGATGCCCTGAACGCACACAGGAGCCACTGAACATCTCTAAAGCAAATGAAGTGAGGCATGGGAAGTCAGTGTGTGGGGAAAGCAAGGTGGAAGGGATGGTGATATGGCTGGAAGGGGCATTGAAAAGGCAGAGGAGCAAACAGGGTGGCACAGAGCTGGTTTTTTTCTCTGGTCAGATTCCTCATTCTTTGCTGCAATTTTTATTATCCAGCTCTTGCTTTGAATGGGCAACCCCTGGTCTGATAGGAGCTCCCCAGGGTGGGTCAGAGCAGGGAATGCAAAGCACCTGCAACCCGCAGTGGTTTTATTAAAAATACAAAGGCTTTCAAACATGCCGGTTACCCCCGACGCTCTGAACACATCGCGCATGGGACCCGCAATCCCGACAGCCCTGGACTGATGGTTCAAAAGCCAGACGGACCCTTTCCCCTCCTCGCCCACCCTCCTCTCACCCCACAAAGGAAAGGGCTCGGTTTGAAGCCGAGGCAGCCACCCGCAGAGTCCCAGCCCCGTGCCGCTGCCAGCTCAGACGCCCCGGACGCTGATGTTTTCGTAGCTGGGGGGAGGCGTTGCCTGCGCCTCCCCCAGGTGCTGGGTGTCCAGCCAGGATGGGCTGGGGCGGAACAAGGCGCTGTCGGAGGAGCTGCGCCGGCGGCCGCCCTGCCAGCTCTCATCCTCCTCCAAGTAGCGGTACAGGGGTGGCGTGAGCTCCTCCTTTCTCCCCGGGGGCTGGACATAGGCTGGGATGCCGTGGGCTGGTCGACAGGTCAGGGCTTCTTCATAGGTGGGGATGGCACTGGCATCCCAGGTGCTGCAAGGGAAGAAGAAACTCAGCAGCACACCCCATCAAACGGAGCATCCCAGCACCCAGGAACTGGAGCACCCCAGCACTGGTCAACTGGAGCATCCCTGGGCCTCATTAACCAGAACCATCCCAGCACCCGTCAACTGGAGCATCCCAGTTCCCTCTCATATGGAGCACCCCAGCACCCATAAACTGGAGCATCCCAACACCCATCACCTGGAGCATCCCAGCACCCATCAACAGGAGCATCCCAGTTCCCTCTCAACCAGAGCATCTCAGCACCCATCAACCGCATCAGCTGGAGCATCCCGAAGCACAACAGACGCATGTGTGCTGGGGATGGCACACGGGCAGGTTTTGTGTGCTTAGGGGCAAGGGAAGACCATGTCAGCTGCTTCCTGGCACCAGGAGGGTGGGGATCTGTGCAGGAGGAAGGGCATCATCCACCAGACCTTGTGACAAGGCAACATCACCCAGTTGCCACTGAGTTTATTAACCCGAGAAGAGGAAGGGCAGCCTGGCCAGACAGCCTCAAAGAGCTGCCACCTCCAGCATTAAGGGCTACAACACATGAATGACTGCAAAGCAGCCGAGGTGCTGGCTCTGGAGACATCTGCCCCCCATTCTGCACCACAAGGCGTCCCACAGGCAGGAAAACATCTTCATCATCGGCCTAACCCCAAAGTCACCCCCCGAAGCACAGAGGCTGCCAGCAGCTGAGTGAGAGGTTTGGCATGAGCAGCCAGTCAAGAGTCAGGCATCCCGGTTCAGTGCGGTCGCACCCCACCCTTGTGCCCGCCAGAGCCCTCCACGTGCTGTCCAAGCCTGGTGTCACTTCCAGCAGTGCTTTGCTGAGCAAACACGGCTTGTGTACAGGGAAAACCTCCGCCCAACCTTTGCCCTGTACCTGGCCCGACTCAGCGCCCTATGAAACAGTGCAGTCCCAAAGACGGGAAGGCTTTGAAAGCACCCCCCTGTCTGCTTGCTTTTGCAGATGAAACCCCAGAGCAGCCTGCTCTGGGAGGCTGCGAGCATCGGAGGGGCACAGCTGGCCCAAATGGAAAGCTGTGATGCTCCACAGGGATGCTTCCTCCATCCCAAACTTGGCAGCCTCCCGTCCCAGAACTACCACCCGGGCATCCGCACCATGGCTTTTGCCAAACAGCTTCAGTTTGCAAATGTCTGCTCCCTTGGAAATGTGGAGAGGGGGATTTCTCCCAGCACAGGATGCTTTGCTGCGCAAATGCCAGTGCAGCTGGGGCTGGAGGAGCTGCTGCAGAGCCAGCAGTGCCCGGGCACTGCCCTCCCATCCAGGATGGGAGCTGGGAGGTCAGGGAAGGGGATGTTCGCTGTGGGGGCACAGCAAAGCCCTCCACGGGAGGAGGAAACTCGCCCCAGACTGGCTCACAATCTCACCCCCAGATATTCAGATGGGTACTGAAACCCCTGGAGAACCAGGAACGTGCCTCCCGCTCTGACTGAATTTTCATGGGTTTATGTTCTTAAGAG